CATGTGTGTCAAGGACAGAAAGGCAGATGTGGCAGCAGAAGGTGTCAAAGCAGTTTGGAGAGAAAAACAAAGCAAAGAACAACAACAAAAAAAGAGAAAACGATTGATTATTAAATTAGTCATCGATTATTTTAATAATCGATTAGTCGTCGATTAATCGACTAATCGTGGCAGCCCTAGTTTGCAGCCCTGCGGGAAGATGACGTGACATTGATGTTTGCYTTTCCCTGCAGGTCAAGCTACAAACCTCCTGAGAGCCGGAGACACTCGGTGAGCACCCACTGCAGTGGAGCCGAACAAACACCTGCTCTCTTTGTAGCAGCTTGCCGGTGTCAAAGCAGCAGATCTATAACGCCTGCATTCTGCATCATTAAGCTCCTGTGGCATATTGATTGGGACGTTGCTGACTTGGGCCTCAGGAGTGCTGAGTGGCATTTTGGAGGTGTCTCACTCACCGCTGGCCACAACACATTGCTTTGTTTTCCACGCAAATATCAAAAAACATTAATTTTTCTCTCAGCTCCCTTCTAAGAAACACCAGAGTTGTGATTTYTAAAACTCAAACSTCTTATTTCATAATGTTTTGATYGAAAGGTKACCCCACCCCACGGCTCTGGATGCCCCCTTATTTACAGGCAATAATTTTTCCTCCAAACCTGCCCTGACCTTAACACAAACCCATATTTTTTCTGAGCTGCCTGAGCAGGGAAGTTCCAACAATGAGGCACGCTCCGGCCCAAAGTTCCTGCAGATCCCACTGCAGAATGGGCAGCATAAACAGACGTTTCCTTCGATTCCTGGGGTTTCACAAACCTCTCAGCAAAACACCCTGCTGCGGTAAACAGGAGGCGAGCGGTAATAAATCTAAATGCATTAACTGGATCAGTATATGGGATTTATTATATCCGAAAGAATGTTTCAAAACTATGGAAGCCCATTCTGCCAGTCTGAGAGGGAAAAAAATGTAATCTAAGTTAAAATCATTACATTTGACTTAGCAGAGATGCTAAGGTTGCTTTCGATTTAGTGCCTCAWATAGGGAAGAAAATTTACATTTGTCACATTCAGGCTATGGAGCACCAAATGTAAAATAAAACGATTTAGCTTATTTTCTGAGTGGAAAAAAAATCCACCAATATTTTATTGTTATTGAGCTTTCTAT